GAAGGTTTTCGGCATGAAGTCTGTTTTTAGCTGCTATCTGTGCTAAGGTGGAATTTTTATGTTTCGTAAAAATCGTTTAGAGTACCCACGCTCTTTCAGTTTTGAGAAAACAATCGCACAGGCTTGGTTGAATCCTGAAGATCTTGTACAAATTCGATGAAATCGTAAAACTTGTGACTTAATTATACCAGAAAAGGTATGTTTTGGGTGAAAGGAGCTCTTGTGCAAGAGTTGATGAGTATCAGTTTCTTTGAAATACACTTTAATATCCAGTTTATTTGTTTCTGCTATGGAATCTCCCTTAAAGACTGTGGTATCGAGAAAGTCTATGCTCTTGTCACTCACGTTTGCGGTTAGTTTGATAGAAGGATGGTGGAATTCCCAATCTCGACGACCATCCAATTTCCCTTAAAATTAGCATACGCCGTAATAATTCATAAAGGTCAAGGTCTCAGTTTAGATAAGTGCGTTATTTCATTACACAAAATTTTTCAGGCTGACCAGGCTTATGATGCTTTAAGTAGAGCTAGAAATTTAGAATGGTTAATAATACAGGACTTTGATGAAAAAGCAATATATTGTGATGAAACTGTTGAAAAATCACTCGATGAAATGGAGTCTTTTTTAGAAACCGATAAGAATGTGACACCAGTAACCGTTATTATTTTACACAATATACAAAGTTTGTATGGCAACACTGACGAAATAAAAAATGACCAAAGATTTATAAACGCAGATTATGTTTGTTTAACCGAAACATGGGTAAACAATACAAGAGAAAGTGAAAGATTACAAATAAATGACTACATGTTTTACAATAACCCATTAATGAGTTGTTATGACGATTCTGTTGATTTTGTAGATTTAAAAGCAAAAGAACATGGTGGGGTTGGCTTTTATTATAAACAAGGGTGTAATATTTTGAGGTTAGGAGTTATTAACATTGAATATTTGGCTTTAATTTCCCCGAAATTAAACATGATAATAATATATAGTAGAATAGAACTATTTTTAAAACAGTTACTTTAACTATTATCGGAATTGATTGAATCGGGGTCT